TGGTATTAAGCATGGCAGACATGATATGGGAGAAGGAGCTCAGAGTTCTACACCTGATCCACAGGCAGCAGAAGAGGACTGTGAGCCACTCTGGGTATAGCTTGAGCATAGGAGGCCTCAAAGCATGCCCCTACAGTGACATACTTCCTCCAACAAGGCTACACCTCCTACTAGTGTCAAACCCATGGGCCAAGCATTCAAACACATGAGTCTGTGGGAGCCATTCCTGTTCAAACCACCACATCTAGTATATTTTTTCTTTCATTTTTTCCAGCATTTTGAACTTTTCAGTGTGGAGGTCTGTCATTTTCTTAATTAGGTTTATTTTAGCTCCTATTTGGAACTATTATGAATAAGATATTTCTAATTTTTTTATTTGGGCATTCATGGTCATACATATACAGGCCAGTGATTTTATTGACTTTGTGTCCTAACACTTTACTTAAAATGTTTCTTAGATCTCAATGTTTCCTACTTGATTCTGTAGGATCGTTTAAGTATGGACAGGGCTAGTTTAACGTATCGCTTTCTTATTTTTGTTCCTTGTGTATCTCCTTCTCATCTAATCTTATAGCTAAGACCTAGAGCACTACATAGAATACGAGAGTGAAAGTGTCCCTTCCTGTTTTCAGGGGAAATATATCAGTGATTTTTCCTTCCGTATAATATTGGTTAGAGGTTCATTATAGGTAGCCTTAGTGTAGGTCTCTTGCCTCTTTTTGTCAGTTTAGCTAAGGGTTTTCAGTGTTACTGACTTTTCCAAGGACTGGAATCTTTAATTTTGCATGTTCTTTTAATCTCTAATCCATTTCTTTCAATCTTTACTATTTCTTGCCATCTACTGGGTTTGGGATTGCCTTCTTATTCTTCTAGAATTTTGAGTACATCATTAGGATATTTGAGATGTCTCAATTTTTTTTTAAATATAAGCCCCTATATCTAAAACTTTGCTTTTAGGACTGCCTTGGCTGTGTACCAAGAGATGATATATTGTACTGCCACTTGACTGTAAGAATTTTTATTTCCTCTCAGATTTCCTCAATGATCAGTTATTCATTGTATCAATATCAATAAGTAGATAATTCTGAAGTACGTTGTTCAGTCTCTTAAGTATTTTTGTATTATGTGTAGTTTTTCTTGCTGTTACTGTCAGTATCTTCTACTGCACAAGGGTGTCCTTGTGAGCCACCAGAGCCACACTGAGATAGCAGGAAGTGTACTTAGAAGATGAGTTATATTGGGCAAATAAATCTACTGATTTGTTGCATAATAGAATCATTGTCAATAATATTAAAGGCCGCACTTCTTACTGTTGGATGAGATACTGACAATCCTAGACAAGAGGCAAAAAAATAATCCAAGGTATCAGATTTGAATTTGACTGTTGCGTATATAATGTACAGTGAATTTGTTGCATATGTATGTCCAGAGTATGAATTTATTGTGCACATACATAGATTTTTTTTTAAGCTCTTTGGTTACGACAAGTGTCTAAAGACAGCATAACCCCACCCTTCCCCAAGACCAATTGATCAGATCATGATGCTTAAATGCTGTGCTTATCAAAAGAATCAAGATCCCTTGGAGAAGGGGCTGCTCCAAGAACTAGGCCAAAATACAGAGCATCTTATACCAGTAAGTAAAAAGTACCCAAAACATGAACTCAGATCCACAGTGCCCACAGAAAGCAGGCATAGCAGAGTATGTCTGTAATCCCAGTGTAGGGGGATAGAACCAGCTGATCACTGGGGCTCATAGCAGCCAGTTCCATTTAATTGGTGAGCTCTTGTTTTAACAAGAGACTTTGTCTCAAAATATAAGGTGGAGAGCAATTGAAGAAGACACCTGATATCAACCTCCAACTCCATACACACACAAATACACATACACCATACAACCACTCACACAAATACACATGCACACATGAACACATGTACATATATACCAAACACACAAAAGGAATAGACGATTGACGGACTATAGCCCATTGAATAAGATAGGGATCCTTAAGTAGTAAATAAGTAGATAGATGTGTATAGCTTCCTTCCACTAAGTGCCAGCTAGTAAACAGAAGGGCAGCGGTGGATATGCGTATCTTCATAGAATTATCTTGGTGGTTAGGGATTAGTAGTGAAGCTTACAAAGGAGTGAGGGATAAGGAATGAGATGCTGACAACATTATATTAGTTCTGATAATAAAATTATCAGTTGCAAGGGCTGAGGATGCCAGGTAATCAACAGTCATATGAGATAGGTTATGATCAAAGTATTAAGGGTGAGTTGGCATCTTGTACCCTCAGACATGGTACTCGGAGCATCATAGTCTCCTTGTGATACTCTCTCTTATTAAGAAATTATGATTTGAGTCCAGGTCATGAAAAGAACATCAGAGTTGCCATGTAAAATACAAGGCTTATTCTCCTTACAACCATTGATGGGTGATATATAATGCTGGTATCAGAGTCATCTACAAAATGCAAGGCTTATTCTCCTTACAACCATTGAGGGAATGATAGACAAGGGTGGCGTGGATAGGAAAAATGCCTGTCGTTCCTGCTTAGAAAAGCAGAGTCATGGCAGCTAAAGGTAGCACATGTTTCATGCTGTCCTTGTATTGGAAAGAAATGAAAGAAAGGTTAAAACTTAGGGTAGCTTTGTGGCATGGATGGAGATACTGCTGCATCTGGATGATTTCCTGACTTGAATATTCAGATGCTGAGTCTTGACATCCACACTTGCTCTCAGAGTCTCAAGGAAGATTTATGATGTGGGGGATGGCAGTGCAGAGGTTAACGTTGACCTCTGAGGACTCGGGGCTGGCATATATGAGAATGCTTCATAAATGAACTTATGCAGTTGTAAGATTTATCCCAAGAGTCAATAAGAAATTGATCCCAAACAGATCTCAAAGATGTCAGTTCTTAAACGGAGAGATGATTTTAGTTTAGTTCTGTCTTTTTAAATACTTGGCATTTAATATCACTAATTAAAAGCATGAGTAGAAAAACCCTTAAGTTTGGTATAGATGGAAGTTAGTATGTGAGTGCACTGTAGTTAACACAGGATGACACCAGTAGGCAGGCTTATGTGGACAGGGCAGTGTTCAGACGGCCTGACGCAGAGAACATGGGCAACTAAGGAGTGCCGAGAGCGGGAGCCATTGGGTTCCCTAGGAAGAGCACACCAATCAGTTCTCCAGAACCAAATGGTCAGCACTGAAAACAGACTTACAGGTGACACTATGCAAACTGAGCAGCTTATATTTATATATTTAGGAATACGTAATTAGGAATAACTACATCCATATATGTACATAAGTACATACACACACATATACACACCATACATGTACATATACATCATATGTATACATCACATACATATATATGTCAGGTGTAATTTCTAAATTAATTGTATATGCATATATGTATGGTGTGTGTGTGTGTGTGTGTGTGTGTGTGTAAAACAATTATTGAAAATAGAGTCCATGAATTAGAAAGAGAGCAAGGAGAGGTATATGGGAGAGTTTGGAGGGAGGAAAGGGAAGAAGGAAATGATGTAATTTTATTATATTCTCAAAAAAACATAAGAAATCATTTTTAAAGAAATAATTTTTAAATGAATTTGGAATACCCTTATAATTGTATGCTCAATAACTGTATATTGGATGTACTCTCAAACAACAACAACAAATCCAGGAATTAAGAAAATGACAGGAAACTAGGTGTCATGACAACAGTTAAGGAGGCGGTCCACATTTGGGTGCATAGTTGTTAGATTTCTTTTTAAAATATTTGAATATTTAATTTAGTTAGATTTTCTAGTTAAGTTTAATTAAAGGATCTTTGTAAAAAGGTATTTCAGTATTCTTAATAAATTAAATTAAAATTCAAAGATGGCATTGTACTTGTAAGGAAGAAATAGGATGGCTTATTGTAGACTTGTTTCTAAAATATTTGTGTACAAGATTGAATAAAGCAGAATTTCTCCTCCCCCTTGTTCTCCTTCCCTCCCTCCCTCCCTCTCTCTCTCTCTCTTTCTCTTTCTTTTTTTTGAGACAATATTTTTCTGTGTAGCCTTGGCTATCCGGGAACTGAGTCTGTAGACCAGGCTGGCCTTGAACTCAGAGATTGCGTGCATTTGTCTACCACAATACCTGGCTCTTCATCCATCCATCCATCCATCCATCCATCCATCCATCCATCCATCCATCCATCCA